GATGGAACAGCAGGTAAGTTGAGGTGCGATTGATATCATTACGCGAACGACGCAGATTAGCTCTTACAACTGGGTTTCTTCCGAGCCGCCCGTTCGTTGTGCTCGTACCCCAGTGAAATATCAAATAAGAGACCAATCCTATATCTTACTGAAATCAGGACAACATAGTCCTTACCCGTGACCAAGGACGCTACCGAGCAATGGCCACTTGATTGGCTGACCGACTTTCCGACCCACTGGCTGACCGACTCTCAGACTCGATGATCGCCCAGCTTTCCGACTCATTGGTGACTGACATACTCTCCGACTCACTAGCGATTAGCGACTGACTGCATGACCAACTCATTAGCGATTGACGGCATGACCAGCTAACTACTCTAGCGACTGACCGCATGACGGAATCACTACATCACTATTACGGCGACTGACTGCATGACTCTTGCCGAGACTACTCGACCATAACCTCGCAATGAGGCACACACTAACCATAAGGACACTGTTACGTCCTCTCGATGAAGTGCACCCGATAACCCGTGAATGATTGGCCGTGCGTCGCCGGTTTACCGCTACTTAACGCATGACTGGCCACCGGCGCGGGTCAGGGCGCGCCACTAACCCGATGGCGGCACACAGGGTCCCTGGATGACGCCGACTACGACGCCGGCGGCCCCGGCCCGGTCAACTTCGACTCCGGCGCCGTGGGTATCGACCCGACCTCAGGTCAGCCTGCACAGGCGGTCACCTAGCTTAGAGAGCACCAACACACTCGTGAATTTGTTCTTTCTCATTCTTGTCATCGAAAGATGGCCTCTCTTAGCTTGGTATCTTACCCCATTGGCTCTTCTTTACTGCACGAGCTTTGACGTAGCTAACCGGATCTATTAATCACCCGATAACTTGCTTGCTCTTCTTAGATGCTGTGACAAGCACATCTTGAATACTACGCACCCTCTAAACTAACTCAAAGGCTTGCCGTTTCGGAATGGTAGGTATGTAGGTACCTTGCCACTTCACTTCTCATGTTTCATCTTGCAGCCTACCCTACTCAATTCAACCACTTCAACCTAAACAGCCTTCCGTAGCCTTTCATTCTCTTATCCCCTGACGAGTTCCGTCGTCTAACTCTTCAGAGTCTGACGACGGCGACCAGCCTACCGTCGTCACCATCCCCGACCTGCCCAACATCGGCGGAGGCGCCGGAGCACCCAGCAACGACCAGGCGGGGCCGCAGGAAGGCGACATCAACTGCGACTCGACAGGCACCTGCTACGACGGTGAGGCATAGCGGATCAGCTGTGGTGTTCCCGAGCTGTGTACTCGCTTTGTGAAAGTAGGAGGAACTGTAGCCGGAAAATCGCAGACATCTAGACATATTCGTAATTCCCGAGATGTTGCGATGTTTGCGAGTAGTGCCAATGTCCTAACAAATTGATACGAAACAATATCACCTTAACGGCTCTTTTCTAAACTTTGCAGTCCATGCAATGAATTCGCTGACGAAGTTCCGTTCCCCGCAGTGACGGTTCAGTGCAAGGACACGAGGATCGCGGTGCAGGTCTCCACCAACAAGCCGTTCAATGGCCGCATCTACGCCCTGGGTCGCTCGGAGACCTGCAACGTGGACGTCATCAGTTCGGACCAGTTCCGGCTGGACCTCAGCCTCTCCGGACAGGACTGCAACACTCAGTCCATCGTGAGTAGACGCGATCACACATGGGAATTGGGATCCTTGCATCGTATAGAACTGTTGACCCTGGCGGTCTCAAAATGACACAAGGCGCAGTAAAGACGAACGCCGAGTCTTCCTGTCGTCACGTCAAACAGGTTGCCCATCAGAGTAGCTTTGAATTTAAATCACATAACCATCTGCACTTCCTCCTCTACAGGGCACCGTCTACTCCAACACAGTGGTGGTGCAGCATCACTCGGTGGTGATGACCAAGACGGACAAGATTTACAAGGTGCGCTGCACTTACGACATGTCCTCCAAGAACATAACCTTCGGCATGCTTCCCATCAGGTCTGTATAAAAATACAGCCGGTTTTCAAAATCGCGTGTCACCATGCTCACCAGCTTCATGAAAAGATTATGTGATATCAGCGCTCCGATAAGCAGAAACATTATCTGCATCAATCACTGAAACTGTGCGTTAGTGCAGAGCAACAGCTTGCCCTCCTCCTCGTCCCAATTACAGACATAGTGAGTTCATTGAAGAATTCTTGCGATAGCATTTGTCATGGACAATAAGAAAGTAGAGAGCTTTAGTCACAAATAACAAGCCATATGCTCATGGCTTAGGTCTGAGATAAATCACCCCAGAGCGACCACCTGACTCTCGGATGTCATCTACTGCAGGGATCCGGACATGATTTCCATCACATCGGCTCCTGAGGCGCCGCCGCCGAGGATCAGCATCCTGAACGACGTCGGCCGGGAGGTGGAGACGGTCCGCATCGGAGATAAGCTGCGCTTCCGCATCGAAATCCCGCAAAACAGTGAGTTGAGCGTCTGGATGGGGTCATCAGCCGCGGGGTACAGCCAGCAAGCGTTCAGAACGGGATGACAGCTTAGTCAGCAAAAGTGAATATCAACGTTATAAGGAAACGTCCCATTTTCTTCCTTGGATCACTTAGCGCCGAGCGCTACAAGCGCTATGGATATAAGACTAGATAAGGAACGAGGTCGGCTGAAGACTAATACAGTTTTCATATTTTCAATGCATACCCATCGTTACTATGATAAATGATTCAGGAACTGATCAGTAAACTTTCCTTTTCAGCACCTTACGGCATTTTTGCCCGCAACTGCGTGGCCATGGCCAAGGACGCCAGGAGCACGTTCCGAATCATCGATGAGAACGGGTAAGAAAACGTTGACAAGTACCTACCCTACTCGTTAAAAAGGCACCTTGATCATCGTGCATTTCAGCCATCTTTCATTTTCAAAATAACTGGACTTCCAACTCTATTTTCTCTATATCAACTTGCTGAAAAGCCAACCCTCAACGGCAACGAAAGACCGCTGACAAATCATTTTGCACTACAGATGTCCGGTGGACACAAACATCTTCCCGCGCTTCACTTCCCAAGTGTACGCGCTCGAGTCGCGCTACGAGGCCTTCCGCTTCACCGAGTCGTACGGCGTCATCTTCCAATGCAACGTCAAGTACTGCCTGGGACCATGTGAACCGGTAAGTCCCGTCACCACGATCCCATCGGCCGGCTAACTGGCTTTGAACACGACGAGAAGGAGATCGTTTCACGCGTGTTCCAAATGGGCTGGCGCCTTCCAGTTCAAGTACCAGGCGACACAACATAATGATGCAGGTGTTCAGTCCAGATCGTCATGAACTTATAAGAAACGTGACCGTAAATGGGACCGTGACATAGCTAGAAATGCTTGACGAATAGCACATTACCACCACCTAGTGAATTGAACACAACCTTCCCATAACTGCCCAACGTCTCGTCTCCAGGCACAATGCAACAACGGCCGGCAGCAGTTCCAGTCCTGGGGCCGCAGGAAGCGTTCGGTGCTCGCATCGACCGGCGACCGCTCGGCCGGAAACAGCGAGGACCCCGAGTCGATGACCCTCAGCCAGGAGATCCTGGTGCTCGACCTGGGTGACGACGCCGTGAAAACCTCCGAGAAAGCCGCCCAGCCGGCCGCTGACGCGTGGCCGCAGGACCGGCGACGAGCCAACCCGGCTGCCGACGGCTGTAAGTTTTCTGCGAGAGGCTTGGCTGCTGTCTCACCATTGGTTGCTCGATTTCAACGACAGGAGATGATGGGGGCTTTAGGGTGCTGGGACTGCAAAACTGGCAGCATAAACTTAACAATGCACTGAACTTGGAGATGAGCAAACAGAGTTACGTATCTCATCACATCATTACCATTTGCAGACAAGATACATTCGCTGCTCTACTCCAGACATTCTCTTATCTGAATGCTCTGACTCTGACGAAATATTGCTCTCTCCCCACAGCCACGAACGCGTTCGGCTTCCCGGAGGAGGTGGAGCTGCTGGAGAAGTGTCCCACGCGCAGCTCGGTGTTGGCGCTGTCCGTCACCTGCGCGCTGCTCGCGCTCGTCTACATCTGCACCGTGTTCGGAGTGCTCACCAAACGGTGGATGGCGCGCGGAAACAAGGTGGTCTAGGCCGCCAGCAGGGCGGCAGATTCAACGGCAGAGACGACTTCCACTGGCTGCGAAATGACAGTGCTGGAGAGAACAGAATCAACACTCGTTTATGAATTGATGTGAGAGGGAGATGGCTGTTCCTTTCGAAGTAGTACCAAGCGTCTGAATTCCGCAGCAAGTTGGAAGTCGTGCTCCGTTGCGAATGAGAAGGTGGAAGGAGGGAGGGAGGGAGACACACAAAGACTGCCGAGTGTAGCGACGGCCAAAGACCGGCGTTACTGAGCGGTAGCGTGGCATTATATCTTCCCTGGCGCTCTGTCGGGCCTCGGCGTGTCGAGACTGCTGGTCAGCCTGCTGCAACCCGACAGCCTCTGAACACGCAGTGTTATCGGGCATCGGTATCGGATACCGGTGCGCCGAGGTCGGAGTGAGCAGCCTTTATTTGTTGTTGTTATTGTTGTTACATGGGCATATTCAGTGTCAATTTGTTACGTGCGTGACGTGTGTTAGGACGAGTTTGTTATGGTGACTTGACAGACGAGCCACATCAAAATGGCGTGACGTGTTGACGACCATTTCTCAAGGACATTGTCAATAGCATTGTTCAAAGGACGACTATTGGGCATAGTTTGTGTGCACAGCTTGTATTTTGCATGGTTATTATTATTTTTTCTGGTCAAAAGTGGCATCACGGTCAAGATTTCAAAACAGCAACAGCCCGTGAAACTTAATTTCATAAGTGAATTCACAATTCCCAAGTGGCATTATTAGGTGCCACTCGACCATTTTTGACCAGCATGCTACTGAGCTCTGACCCGAAGCTATCTGTCGATATCCATGCGCAGTACATAGTGTTATGTATATCGGAATGTTTGTATTTATAAAGGTGAGCTTGACGGATACAGTGTGAATAGGATGATTTTTTACACATGACGATGAGCGAGGAGACCTACGCAATACAGCACTAAAACGAACAGTTCTTTATCACCATTCCATCGTAACAAAGGCCACGGGCGGTCCTGCAAGACGGAACGCTGAAATAAGAAGACAGCATATGCATTGCGCCACGGAGCAAACATTATGGAGGCACGTACAGAACATCACCGCTGGGGCTCTGGGTGGGACTTCGTCGGACTTGAGGACTTCTTCTTACTCATATCTATGCACTCGCCAGCTAGACGTTTCCGTGGTAGAATATCTGCCAAAAGTAGGGGAAAACAACTTGCTTATCTGCTGACTGCTGGCAAAAATCGCTTAATCTGATGGCATGTGAGCCATAATTCTCGCGGGAATGACGAAGGCTTATTTTACTCTCTTTTGAACGTATTCCGCAGAGGACTTCAACAAAAAAAAAAACCTAGCAGAAGTGGCAATGTCAGTTATTAAATGATAAACAAAATGTATGAAATTATTACTTTGAAAAGATCAGAAAGAACCAAGTAACATTAGATTTAGTGACCAAGATATTCACCTGACAAGAAATGCAAGTTTTCTTCATTCTCTACTGCGACGGCGATGTCGCCATAGCCGATGCATTTCTTGTCTTTGCTGTGCACATAGGCTTGCGTTATGAAGTGTTGGATAAACATTTCCTGTAATAGCGATTAAAAACATCACAGACCTTCCATCACTAGAAGGGTTAGCCAAAATACTGCAAGTTTCTGAGAAAAATAACACACCACATCGCTCTGTGGAGGACTTCCAATGAACGTCATTAAATCTAATTGACCTTTGCTGAAATCTCGGAGTACATACCATGAATGTGCTTCCACGAAATGGAAGAAACATCTGGTGCTACTCATAAGAAAAGCAAATATTTTAGATCAAGTAACTCCGTTCGGATGAGCCAGCCACACGGTACATATGTACGACTGACGCGCCACCTACACTCCGCCCTCGACGGAGCTGGTCCTGTACGGCACGCCCTCTGATATCGTTTCACACGAACGTCGAGATCGTCCGACTCAGCACGGCCAACAGCGGGCGTGGGACGGGCCAAACAGTCACTGGGAGGGGGCAGGGACTCATAGCTCGACTCACCGTGGCGCGGCACACGATCGGCAGAGACTCCTGGCTGACCAGCTCAATGTCCGGCGAACTCTTCATGATGGTGCGAATTTTGCTCAGCGGCAAACAGTCGTCACGGGGCTTGGATTTCGCTTCATCCATCTGTTGAACAAGAACAACATGTCAATTCAAAGTTACGAAAATGGCGGGGGCCAGCTGTTTCCAGAGCAGCTGTGCGCGTATAAGGAAAAATCTCAATTTTAGTTGTAGCCACTAGACACACACGAATGAACAATAACAGTAGGGTAGCCTGGGGCAAGACGCCCCAGATAATTTATTTTGCTACATAAATTTTGTCCCACATCACCTGGAAGGCCAAATTTGTGCTCAATGCGTTCTTTGGACATTTTACTTTAAATTGCACCCCTCAAATTCCTTCACTTGTGATCGGACTCCAAGCTAGGAAGTGATTTGTGAAGCAACTGCAAATGGGGCATTTTGCCCCAACCCCAGGGCAAAACACCCCACGGCCTGGGGCAAGTAGCCCCATACTTAAGATTACAGATTTAGCATGGTAGTTTATGTGAGAGGTCCGTTAGACCTCTGGAGGCACGGCTCTGAAGTTAGCACATTCCATCCCGTCAGGTGTTCAGCTATGATACTATTGTATGAGTAGGTTTTTCACCTGCCTCATAAGACCAAATAATAAATTATTGCAATGCAAATATTTACAGAATACTTCCTTTGCCATCCAGTTGCTGAGAAAAATACACATAAAGGCATAGAAACTTACTGACTGTTCGCCAGCTACCGAACATTAGTCTAATGTTCGGTGGGTAGTGGGTAGCCCGAACAACACATGAGGTAAAAATCCCCATGGGGCTTTTTGCCCCGCGACCTACTGGGGCGTTTTACCCCATCACGTAGTTCGGTCAGAGAACAACGCTTTGCACTCCAGCAAGACATAATTTCACACAAACCAACCTGGCATGATAAGCGTTAGAAAATAGTTGTTCAAAATACATAAAAGTTGTTAACCTGATGTGGACCATAAAAGAATGCCATGATGCATAATCTGACAACAAAACATAAAAATCACTCAAAAAACACATTTTTGGCTAAATCTCCCGAAAGAGTCATCACAATTTCTTTCCAGTCTGCTCATATAATGATCATATAGTGCACGTTTTATAGAAGAGAGGATGTTTCCCCAGAACTCTGCCAGTTCCGAGAAACATCGGTGAGGCTTTTTACCTTGGCAGGGCGACTTGCCCCGGTCTACCCTAAATGAGTAGTGGAAACAACCTAAACACTGAATGGTAGCCTGCTGCTCAATCTATTGCTGAAATCGCTTGGTCTATCATCCCAAAATATGGGAAATGCCTACAAATTAAAACCGACACTACTAAAAGATAACAAGATAACAAACAGAACTGTCACCTGTCCAAGAACTCAAGAAGTATGAAGCTGCTAGCCAGCTCTGCTAGGCATTCTACTTGTAATTTAATCTAAATTCTACTTGTAATTTAGCATGTGAATCATCGTCATGCTTAGCCAGCTGCCAGCATATTTATTTCAATTTTCCTTGACCTTTTCACGGCTAGTACTACGAAAAGGTCTGGTTATTGGCACACAACTATCCAATTAGGAACTCTACTCTCTGATGATATTGATATCATCTCTGATGATGATATCAATATTGATATACCCCTACGGCTTTGCTCTTGCTCTTCTCTCTGCCTCTATATATATATGGCCTTGAAGAATCTTCAATCTTGCCTATCTTGAAGAACCCTGCACTCGCCTCAACCTACCTTTTCTTCGATAACCAAACGTCAAAAATAAATTATAACAAAGCATCAGCATATAATGCAAATTGTTGGCAAATTGTAAACTCAACCTCGCTGCAAAATAGTCGCTTACGACGCGTAACAGACAATTATGAGAATTATCTATACTTACTGTTCAAACTCTTTCTTTGCGAGTATCGTTCACCAAATGTACCAATCACCGATTCGTAAACACTTGAGATTGACCTATGCATGACGTTGATTGGTCCAAGACTGAATATGACGTCATTCTAACCAGTTTATACTAAATGAGGGCCACTGAATAAAAAAACCGGCCACTGAATCAAAAGCACTGAATCACAGAGCTTCATCGGATTTAGTTTTTAAGTTTCTGATCTGAGCGTAGATATTTAGTGTTTGTGTAGGTGTTGTAATGTTGTTTCTAGAAAAAATGAATCTTCCGGCAAATGAGCTTAGCCATAGGCGGCGGAACGGGGAGGGCACCGTGCCCCTCTTTGATTTTGACATTTTAACATTAGCCCTATCACTATGGGCGTTGCATGGAAAGAATGGGACCAAAAGTCGGCAGTGCCCCCCCCCCCCCCCTTAATTGAAGGTGTTCCGCGGCTACTGAACTTAGCATCGCTATCGTCCAGGAAGATTTTAACCCTCGCCGGTCGAGGGGGGGACGGGTGCCGTTCCCCCTCGCATAGCGTTTTTTTCGCGATAGCTCCGATCACGACGGCGATAGAGAGCTGAAACTTGACATACCTGACCTTTAATACAAGCCGGATCTTCTGACACCAACCGCATTTTCGGGTCAGGTCAGGTCACTGACCTATGACGTCATAAGTGAACCTCTGCACGGTCTTCAGGTCGCAACTTCGCAACGCCCTCACTGCCAGAGGAGCTTTCACAGGGAAATGAAACTTGCAGAATCTAGTATCCATTACGAGTCTCACAACTTGTAGGTATATCTCGGATTTTTCCTAAAGGTCATATGAGGTCAGGTCATTTTCGTGACCTCACCATTATATGTAATGGGGAAACATGAAAACTGCTATTCTGGCGCAGGGAACGATATCCAACTATCTCACGCACACAGAATCGTGATTTGATGCGCTCCTTGCAAGGTTAGATGCGTCACTTTTGCAATGTTGACCCAAGATTCTTACAGATTTGTTGACCTTGCGTGACGTCATTTATGACGCCATCAAGTTCATATTAGTTTCTCGTCAATAACTTCCGATCAAATTGAGCTAGCGAGTCGGGAAAGCCACCAATGGACTCAGGAAGACCTGCCGAATCGAATGATATGCGACAAGACCTCTTTCGACCAGCTTCGTGACCTGGGGGCGCTGACCTGACCGTGACCTGAGTGACCTGACCCAAACAAAAAGTAGGTATATCATTCGACGCACCTGAGCGAGGCGAACTTGATGCTGCCAAAATCACAGCTCTGCGGCCGTTTTTTTGCGAAGTAATTCACCAAAAACTGAACCGTACCTTGGGGCACTTGACCTGACCTCAGAGGTCACCGGTTGACCTAGGACCTTAACCCTCGCCGGCACGGGGGGGCTAAGGTTTTTTTGCGAATAACTCGCGTAAAAAGCGGCTGATCGCGACGAAACTTTCAGTACCCTCTCATTGATCAATTTTACACCTACCCTGAAAATTTCATGACCCTGACCCAAATGACCTTTGACCAGTGACCTACTTTCCGAGACCATGTTTGGCCGGAATCACGATTCGGCGTATGTCGGCTCGCATTAGCCGCGCGTTTGCAAGTTTTTCGTGGTTTCAAACGTTCAAACATGTGATTTGATGTTGCTCCCATACATTAGGGTGGATGTCAAGGTCACCTGAAGGTCAGGTCAGGTCATTGACCTTTGGTGACCTCGGTTCACTTTTTCGAGTTTTACATGTGGCTAGGCTAGTTTTTGGAGCTGATTTCGAATTTAGCAACCATTTGATCATTTACGAAGTAGTTTTGGTGCCTTCGTAACATGTTACGAAGCTGTCAGAGGCGGTTGACACGCATTACGAATACCCGTCACGACCCCTACCGGTTGACCTGACCTGACCCAACCTGGTCTAAATGCTTAAAGATATCATCTCTGATCAAAACTCACACGATATTCGTGATCAGCACCCCGGAAAACCCCAAAGGTAGCAGCCACACTTTACGACTTTCTAACCGGTCCCGATTTTCCAGATTTTCGGGTCATTGACCCCGACCTGGAAGGTCACCCGATGACCTAGGACCTTAAAATTGGATATCATCGGCTTCCTCTCGTGACGGGCAACACGCTCGTTTTTTCCACGAAGCTCTAGCTCGATCAGGGGCCAAACGCGAGAGGGGGGTCGTAACACCCCCCCCCCCCCCCCTTGTGCCGTCGAAGGACGCAAAATGGCCTGTGCCGGCGAGGGCTAAAATCGGGCATCAATCTCTGCATCTCGTAACGGCGCACACGCTCGTTTTTTCCGCAACGCGCTTGCTCCACCAAGTACGAAACGGCGAGGGGGGGTCGTACGCCCCCCCCCCCTTGGCCGGCGCGTATGTAGAAAACCAATAGCCAGGTCGGGCGAGGGTTGATAGTTATATAGCTAGGCTTGCATTCTTGCCTTCTGGTAAGATTGTAGATCGTTTGGATTTGAATTATTTTGCCCGTGGCCGGTGGCCTTCCCAGATCCGACCTCCGATAGCCTTCTTTTGGTTACACGGGTCCTTAGCAGCCTGCTCTCCCTGTGCAGTCCATGTACCTCAGTGTACCTACCTATATATATATATATATATATATATATATATATATATATATATATATATATATATATATATATATATATATATATATATATATATATATATATATATATATATATATATATATATATATATATATATATATATATATATATATATATATATATATATATATATATATATATATATATATATATATATATATATATATATATATATATATATATATATATATATATATATATATATATATATATATATATATATGATGATGATGATGATGATTCGCGGTTCACTGGCAATTAGGTATTAGGTGCAGATATCCAGCCACAAGCGGTGCGCTTCATCGATTCAAGATATTGAGCGTTTAAATAAAAATTGAGGGCGTTCAATGCACTCCTTTTCTTTCCTCAACAATCCACTGGCTATACCATCAGCCTGAACAAATGAGTCCGTATCTATCTAAGTAGGTGCGTAAGAACAGCTGCAGGCCCATCATTCTCCCAAGACCCAAGCTCGTCAAACTACCAGCACACCCCTGTTTATACAGCAAACATCTTGACGTCACTGAATTAATTACGATCAGGAGCTTGTGTGGCCCAACTCGGTATGCCCGGCAACATAACACTCAAAGGACAATAGCAGCGGCACTATAGCGTTATTACGAAGAACCGCCATGCGGTCAGCTGGAACAGCCACATCGATTGCGATTGCCATCGACGTCTTGCTAAGCCCGCAATAAGCGCACAAAGTCTCCTGCCAGACCCCGAGGAGACGCCGGTGGGGGCTCGTCGCGTGAGCCATGGCGCGCTGCGCTGGCCTGGTCTCCATGGGGCCAAGCTGGGCCAGCGTTGAACCGAACACTGCGGTTCCGAAAGATGAAGAACTGCGTATCTCAGCGTTTCACGATCCGCCGTACTTTTTCATCACACATCACGAAAACGGCAGCCACACCTACGACGGCTACCTTTACCAGCTGTGGCAGATGCTGGCCTGCATGGTGGACTTACGCTACAGGATCATCCCGCTGACAGGCGGCGGCTACGGACGTCTCTCCGGCAACCGCACGTGGACCGGTGTGACCGGCGAGCTGACGTACGGTCGAGCCGACCTGGCCCTCAGCTGGCTCGGCATGACCTCCAACCGGACGGCAGTGATCGACTTTCTGGACGTGATCCCCGTGAGCTGGTACCAGGACGACTTCTATGTGCGCAGCGGGCCGGTGACGGCACCCGAGCTGCGCGCCAAGACGTTCGCGTCGCTGCTGCGGCCGCTGCACGAGGACGTCTGGTGGATGCTGCTCGGTTCTCTGCTGGTTATCTCTGTGCTGCTGCACGTCACGGTGCGGGTCGGTCGCGGCATCTCCGAGAGCGAGCTCGTCGCCGGTCAGATGTCGTGGGGCTCGTGTCTGCTGAACACGCTGCGCTCGGTGGTCGGCCAGGGCTGGGACACCATGCCCGACTCGCTGGCGGCACGCACCGTCACCCTCTCCAGCTGGATCCTGGGCATGCTGCTGTACGCCAGCTACACGGCCAAGCTGATGTGCCACCTGACCGTGCCGACCCCGAGCCGCCCCCTCCACAGCCTGCACGAGTTCGCCGCCGAGAGAGACTGGATAATCGCCATGGAGCCCGGAGTGAGCATCCTCGACGGTTGGAAGGTGAGCGACAAGCCCCACGAACGGCAGATATTTCAACGCGTCGAGAATGGAGACAGGTACATCGAACTCTACCCGACTCACGATAACAAGTCTGGCTTCAACATCGACAGAGTTCTCTTCCACGCCGACTTCAGGAGACTGCGGTACGCGATCGGTCAGGAGAGCTGCAAGCTGGTCCGTCTGCTGGACACACCGCCAAACCCACCGATCCGCGCCTACATGCCGATCGCCAAGGGCCGCCCGGCGCTGCGTGACAAACTTAACAGGGCCATGCTGGAGCTGGCTGAGACTGGCCTGGTGGACCGGATTCGCAACAGGTGGATGACTCAGCTGCAGCGAGACTGCGACGCGCCTACAGCCAACTACCGGCCGCTGTCGCTGACCAACCTGCTGGCCATGCTGCTGATCGTGCCGCTGGCAGTTGTGGCCAGCGTGATGCTGCTAGCGCTGGAGCAGCTGTACGGCAGAACGGGAAACTGGCGCCGTCAACAGCTCGTCAGACTGCGGGAGCGGGTGTCAGCCCAGTGCGACCGGTACCTGACTCGCCGTCTGAAGGATGAAACGTCGCTGGACGGTTCCCGGTCGAACGACGTAGGAACAGAGAAGAGCTTGCACCCATACCATTCCATCAGCTTAAACGGTGAGAAAGCCTTTGGAAACGGCGACGCCAAGAAAACAATTACGAAGAACTTGGCTTGAGGAGCTTGCAACGTTCGCTTTACCCGTCCATTGAAGAGCATGACCCGTGAAGCGATGGCAAGCTCCTAATCCGTTATATGTATGGTCATAGATAACATGAATCTTATCTATCGATTCATGTTATCTATGGTATGGTTAATGAATTTATTTACGTCTATCAGTAGAAGCGTGTGCCATGCGAACTTATGTTTCTGAATAGAAAGCACTAAGCAGCGTCACAAACTTTCGAAATTTAATGCTGCGTTGTGGATCAGACCACACGTGCCTAAAATGACAGCCGTAATACCCACCTACTGTTCTCACACGGTCGCACCTCCATATTTTATTGACACAAAGTTTCTTCTTGCATTTTTATTTTTGCTGATAATCGTATCAAATACAAAGATTTAACATTTAACTTCGTGAACATAATCTTTTTGTTGTTAGAAAGTTTCGAATAAAACTTGACTTCGTGCAGCAATGCAGTCATAAACAACATACGCGCGAAATTACCTCAATACCTAATAAACAGCCTTTGAAAATTAAAGGGACACTCCCACCTTAACATTAGTTTTGAGTTGAGATAGCCAAATTGGTGGCCATGGCCTGCAAATACCGGTTTGGGCACTCACAACATCGCCAAATGCTTTAATTCGGAGATATGGAATTTCAAACTTGCAGTTTTCGGATTCTAAGGGGCTAGTGCATTGGTATGCCCCCTTAGAATTTGTGACGTCAGCGGAGATCTAACGATTTTTAAATCTTTTACTAAAACGTTTGGTAGCACGCGGTGGTATATGCTGCTTTGCGCGCAACAAATGCCGCACTTTCAAATAAAGTCGCTAGGAACAGCGGAGATCCCAAAAAGTAAACAAAAGTAAAAGTCTAATATCTTGAAAACCGGTGAATATTTTTCGATGAAATTTGGTAGATATTCGTTTTCGCTCTTTCTGAACCGAGCAACATCACTTTCGTGCCAATTCATTAACTTTTTTGAAGGTGGGAGGGTCCCTTTAATAGAAGTCTGGGTTTGTCATTTATCAGCCCGTTGCCGGGAAACCGGGTCGGACGGGCCTGTTCACATAAGCCCTCCCGAGCGGAGCATGAGGCATTGTGCGGTGCCGTGGCCCCAAAGGAATGCTCTTAACAAAACAAGCCCCCCACAGGCACTCAAGTAACACAGGCGGGCGGGCAGCTATTGATGAGTGTTGACACTTCTCTGCTACCTCCAGGTCCGCCGATCATAAAATTATTTGACAAGCGCAGAAGGCGCGCCGGTGCTGATGGGCGTGAAAGACGGCTAGAGGGCCGTGCGAACATGTCTTTTGGGGCTGCCTTTTCAACTAGCATGTTTGTCGAACCTCCATGAGCATGGTCAGCAGCCGGACAAAAGTCTGCGTCTGCCCGACGTTTTATCAACTGAGCGCCGACTATGTCGTAAAAATGTCACGTTCTTTACCCCTCCCCTCTGCTTCGTTGACGTAGCTGACAACATCCTCACTCCCACCACAGCCATGTCGTGTAACTAATAACTCAATAGTTTGGCACTCTGTGGCTGAATATTCTCGTTAGCTGTGAGGCTCATTTAGCAAAGTGCAAGAGAGACCCAAAAGCGGTATCGATTCTATTTAGTCGATTCTTCTCTCCTCCTGCCCACTCGCTATCAACCGCTTGCAGACTCACACTTCGCAGTCAGTACCTTTCAGTTTCCACTCCAGTCTCATTGCATTCTACAAGCTTCAATAAAAATATTCTTTAACACTTCGGTAGCACCAATGGCCAGGATCAGGCAGATAGGGTCTGGTGACCCGAACATTTTAGCACGATGCACCGTCCGGATCATCCTTCCTATCGTCCTCTCTCGGCGGCCCGCCAGCACCCTCTACAGACCGCCGGCCTCCCTGACGGCTGACACTGCCTCGATCTTCTGTCGGAGCATGGCTTCCCAGTCCTGGCCGCGCTCCATCGGCTCCGAGCGGGTGGGCATCGAGTGCAGCTGGCGGATCCTCTCGCAGGGCTGGAACGGCACCCCGGCGCCCTGCAGCGCCTCGGGGAACTTGTCCGGGCCGGCCGTGGCCACGCAAAGACGCCGCGGTCCATCCGGCCTGAGGGTGACAAAACCGGAGGGGGTGGGGTGTAACAGGTTCTGGGGCTCGACATAGAGCTGGACGTAATAAAAGTTCAATTACAAAAAGTTTCATGGTTATTCAACTTATATGACAATTTGAAGTCAGGGATGATTCCATCGGACACCGGTTACTAAATATACATTTACAAGGACATTCATGTCTCTGTCACAGTCATTCAGAGGTGAAACTGTTCAAAAAGTACATAAAAAAGATTAACTGCATCGTGAGAAATATGATGATCGTTTCTTTAGTAAAAAAAAAACGATCGTAACGGACAGTCGTCACGCTGTACCTGACGTGGGAGTAGTGGTAGTGGGCGGCCGTAGCCGTGTGCGGACACAGCGTGTACTGGTTCTCCTCCCAGCAGCGGGTCAGCGTAGAACTGATGGCGTCGTCCGGCACCACCTGGGCGTCTGCGAGGAGATCCACAGAGAGAAATATGTATCATTAAATCAGGCAGACTTCATCCGCAGAGTCATGCAATTTGTTCTTTAGAAGAAATACGAATCTGGCGAAATTAGAAAGACGTTTCTTTATAATCTACAATTAAAATGCTCGAGAGGTCAATACCTTAGCAGGTGATATTTTTGGATTCCACACGATTCAAAAAGGCCAATCAGACTTCAGACATTAACCCGCGCCCGGCTGGGGGTCCTGGATTTCCACGCCCTGCTGGGGGGGGGGGGGTCTGAACACCCCTCCCCCTTCTAACTCGGCTCCTGGGCCACGTAGCGATACGCGGAAGGCGGCGTTCGAAAGAGCGTCAAAAATAATGAGGAAATCACTTCGGTCAATTTTTTGCTCAGGTCAAAGGTCAGGTCACCAGAGGTCATTGAAGGCAAAATTTCGCCGATTTCCAGGTCGAATGTCGACAATTTCCAAGATGCCAACGCATAACTCGGGAACCAATAGAGCTACAGCGCCGCAGAAAAGCGCATTCGATAACCCTATTAACGCCCTTTCTGAGTGGCCTCTCAGATTTGACCTAACGTCAACGGTTTTGCCTGCAGGGGGCAAAAACTGCAAAAATAGCCGTTTTTCGGAAACAGTTTTTCTGTAATAACTTTTGACCCAAGCCTTGCACGAGCTTACTTTTACCGGCATCGTGTTCCTCTCGTCAAGACGCATCGAATGAACTATAACTTGACCTTGAAAGGTCACCTTGAAAATTTGACCTCAGGTCAAGGTCATGACCTGACCTGAAAGGGTCATGTTGCAGATCAGTCGACCCGTATCGTCGAGCTGAACACATCTAATGCGTTTTCATCGCTCTAGCATGCCTCTATCAAAAGTTATTTGCGAAAAACTGTTAGATACCATTCGTGACCTAAGATGACCTCAGGGCATAAACAGGGGTCACGGACACCATTTTCATGTTCAGTGTGTCTAAACCACTTGTAATTCAGTGCTTGGGAGTGTTTATAATGTCTTTCGTCCGAAAGAGGCGCATTTCAATTTTCTCCCATTGACTTATAATGGGGAGGTCGCAAAATTGACCGACCTTAGATCACCGATATCAAAATTCTGAGATATACATTTTGTACGTGCTATTGCTCTTAGCAATCTCTGAAAGTTTCAAAGCGATCGGTCACTCGGTGTAGCTATGACAGACATCGAAACTTTTTATGAGGTGAGGTCACTTCAAGTGACCTGGTGACCTGACCTTGAATGACCTTGGTCTGAAATTTTCACAACATGTGTAGAATTGATGTATGATAAGGTGTACCAAAAACGGCTAGAGATATTCGCGAAAAACCACAAGGGGGTGTTCAAACACCCCCCAGCAGGGCGCGGGTTAAACAGCTATTACCTACACATATGCCATTTACTTTGCCGCGGAAAATATAAATCAATCTTCGACTCTTCCTTTTTCCTCACCAACAATAACTTTCTGCATCTCCTTCAGAACTTGAGCGTCAATTTGGACCCGACCGTTGGCTTCAAATTCCGTCATCATCGTCTTCACCAGCTCCGTGTTGTGGTCGCTGAACAGCAGCATCAGCCTCTCCATGCTGTAAGGCACCTGTGAGTGTGAATATTGGATACGTATGAACCTAGAATTAGAGGTATAAACACGTAAAAATATACCTTTTGGTTGTACCAATAAGCACGATAATCTTAAACACCTGTCACACAATCTAATCTAATACTACCACATAATTAATGCATCGGAGTGCGCTATGCGAAGGAGGACAAGTGAATGTCATCACTAATCCATTTTGTCGCCGCTGACGTCTTTTCATCCTTTTGGCTGATTTAATTCTCGTCACCTGAATGTCCATGGCCGGTGCGAGCGACACCACCACCTCGTCCGCCTTGGAGAAATCGCCGCTGCTGAGGCTGCGGTAGACGATGTCGTTGGTGTTGACGGCCGCCACCAGCCGGACGGGCAGACCCATCCGGGCGGCCACGCAGCCGGCTGTAGCGAGCACAGGCACAGTCAGACTGTCACAGATTACGGCGCGGATGATAAGTGATCCTGTTTATTTTGGAAAGAACGTGTTACAGAGCATACTAAAATAACTGTTTTCATATTAACAATGCTCGATTCTCAAACTTTGATGAAGGGAGGGAGTTCTACCAACCGGTAATGTTTCCTGCGGCTCCAGTGGGCAGAACCATCTCGACTACGTCACCCACTTTCGCGCATGTACGGAAGTAGCCGTAGAAAAAGTGCGTCATCTGTTGGCAAATAGTAACACTCCAGCAAATTAGCTGAACAATTATTAGATATGACAACATAAACAACGATTAACATTGTTATATTACATGCGAAATAAAAAGATGAGCTGTGGAGATGTTTATGAGCGATTGAAAATGTTCTAAAACTTTAATAAAACGCTTTGGTTACGTTTTCCGCAGCAGCTAAGAGAGTAGAAAAATGATAGGTATAGCCCTTACCTGTGATAGCACTCGAGCCCAGTTGATGGAATTGGATGATATCACACGATGCCTCTTGACAAACTCGGTATCGGCGAATATGCTTTTCACTTCCACATCTATTTCATCGCTGTTCCCGTCCGCTGCAATAGAAACAACAATGCATGATTCCGGGCCGCCCGCCTTATTTTTGTAAGTCTAGAACACCATCGCGACGCCACAATCAAACCTCTTTCCGTCATGCCTTACCGGCGAAGACGTGCACGTTGTCGTCGATGCAGGTGGTCATCTGCAGTTCCTGGATCTCTGTGCACCGGCCGTGCGGCAGCAGCACCACGATGTCGATGTTGTCCAGGCCGCGCACCGCCTGGATGGCCGCGCTGCCCGTGTCGCCAGAGGTGGCTACCACGATCAGACACCGCTCACCGGAGGCGGACAGGAACGTCTGCCAGTATGGGGGGGGGGGGGTTGTAGGAAGAAACAGGCAATGACACCATCGGCTTTACATGATCATTCATGACATGGAATCCGATTATGAGGACTGAGCAGCCTCCATGCGTAAGAACGAAGTACCAGACATATCGCCAATGTTAAAGGGTTGCTCGAGCCGCTTTCCCTGAAATAATACGATTTGCATGTTCAAATAATAATAAAACGTTTTTATTTCGATAACAGAATAAGAATTACAAAGCAATCGATGCTTCTGTTCGTACCTCCAGCAAACGAGCCACCACGCCGAGTCCCAGATCCTTGAAGGCCAGCGTGGGTCCGTGGAAGAGTTCGGACACTCGTAGGTCGTTCTTCAGCTCTGCTACCCTCATAACCTCGGGCACTTCGAAACGAGAGAAGGAGCCGGTCGCCAGATCTGCCCGGAAAGGTACACATAAGTCAGTTATGTTGAACATGTCTGGCCATCGTCATCACATATAAAATCGCTCCAATCTCTCCATCAATAAATACGATTGAGGATAAATTATAATGACACCGGCGAGTCAATCGAACTAGGCGGGAGCTGAACACAAAAAGATGAAGTTTTAAACCAATAAATATATGTCATAACTGAATCTCCCGAATACCTCTCGCTCACCGATGATTTGTTCTCTGCTGAGCTCAGACGGGTCTATATACAGACACAGGATCTCGGTCAGGAGGTCTGGGTAGCTGAGCTTCGACCACGACTCCAGCTGCTCCTGAGACAGCTTCGGTACCCTCTCCGGGAAGTACAGGCCGCCATCCTTGCTGTATCCTGGAATGTTGAACGTTTATACGAAGTTCAGCGAAACTTAACTAAATATCGCTCATAGCATATTTGAGAAATTATCTACACATTATTACGATATTCAATCATTGTTCGGTGCTAATGATGTAATGAAGTGTTTGCACACCATTAAAGTACAATGTTAAGTGGCAATAAGCAAAACTTATGTCGAGCTTAAAACGCTTAGCTCTTAGAAATACAGCCTATAAAGTGACGTTATTCACCTAAGCCGGTTGTCGTTAGATCCCGATCGCTTCTTCATCTATCAATGGGCCACTCGCCTGCAAATAGGACATCCTTGAAGGAGACGCCCTTCTCCAGTCCTCGCGTGCTCTGGTACTTCATGGCGGGTGGGTGAAGGCTCCAGGACGACTGACTGGAACGGTAGGAGGGTGGCGCCACCGCTGGGTCCAGGCGGGGTCAGAGTTCAGGGTCACCAGAGGCAGCAACAGATATGTCGGGGTCAGATAATCAAAAGAGCCGCCATCTTCCCGCACCCATGACATGTGTCAACTGTTCAGTGTCAGTCATTCGACAAGTTGGTGTTTGGCTGTGTAACGGAATGCCTTTGCTGCGATATAGGTATAGTACATAGACGAGCCTCCAGTCAAAATAAATCCGTGTGGTGGATCGGCATCCAAGCCCGTAACACATTCAAACGAAAATGGAAACTCTCTACTCCGTGGCAAACTAAGTTAACTGTCAATTTCTACTCAAAGATGCGCACCATCTGCTCACCATTGAATACCCGCAGTCTCCGTCGCCGTCACACCGGTCGGGCCAGTCAGCTGACGGTAGCGGCGGGGAGCCGGAACGCTGCCAGCGCCGGCGCCGTCGGCCCGTCGGCACCGTCGACCCTACCGCCGTCGGCCCGTCGCCCTCCCAGTGTAGGCACCGACGATACCGGGCCTGGGGGTAGCCGCGGCGGGACCGTGTACGTCGGTAAATCGTCCAACGCGGTGACTGGTGCAGGGGAACTCCTGCACGCATCGATCCGGCACTTCAAGAGACCGTTGAAGTGCAACAGCCAATCGCTGGAGCCTGGAGGACAATTTATTAGAGACGATACGTCTCTCAAATGTATGCGCTCTATTGTATGAATTCTGTTGTATATGTACTCCTGCTTGTTCTTAGCTAAGCAATTCCAAGACTGTTCTTACATTTTCCCAAGACTGAGCTGACACGATGATAATAATTTGCTGAATAAGAGAACGCATTAGTGCACCACGTACATGCTTACTTGTGTACTTATTCATTTAGCTACATTTGCATCTTAGGACAATCAAGGGAATTAAATGTGTAGGTTTGTAAAGAAACCTAAGGCGGAGTGCAGAAGTTGCATTAGCCTTAAATATGAGGAGTTAAAATCAAAATATATATAAATAGAATCATAATATTATAATAAAATTAAAGTACAAATAGATAGCCGTGAACCGCTTCGGAACTAAAGTGGGTCGCCGACGCGGATTCCATTTCCGACCAATTAGCTGTGCCCGGTCTGGGCAAAACCATGTGGCAAGCTGTATTTGATAGGTCCGGCTGTACATATGTCCGGCGCCCCAAAAATAGCTGTTTTTACGAAATGTGTTTTTCGACAATAACTTTTGACTAAAAAAGCCACAACATTTCCATTGCCAGAATCGTGTTCCTCTCGCCGAGACGCGTCGAATGAACTATAATTTGACCTTAAAGGTCAACTTGAACTTTGACCTCAGGTCAAGGTCATGACCTGACCGGAAAAGGTCATGTTGCATATCAGTCGATGCGTCTCAACAAGACAAACACAATGAGAACATCCCCAGCTATCTCTATCTCTTATCTCTCATCCTATCCTATCTCATCCTATCTCTTTCCAATCGAGTTATTGGCAAAAATCTGTTTGTAGCCTCAAATGACCTCGGATGACCTTTCTAGAGGCTATCAGCAAAAACGACACCTTGGTCGTCACGGTTGGTCCAAATCACTGTGATTCTGAAATATTTGGACTGTTCCTATGCGTACACACGGATCTAGAGGCATTTTCATTTTTTCTGCATTGACTTATAATGGTAAGGGCACGCCACTGACCTGACCTTAGGTCACGGATATAAAAAATCCAAGATATGCAAATTGTAGGCGCCCATAACACCATGCCATTCACCAACTTTAAAACCTTTCTGACAAGCACTGCAGGCTGGACATGATTGCAAACTTTTTTAGGCTTTGTCAGTTAACTTGACCTGGTGACCTGACCTGACATGACCTGGGGTAAAAAAAATCACACATTGTCCAAAATTGATGTACAAAAAGCTACTCCAAGCGACGCAGCGCTACGCGCCGCGGTTTCTTATTCACACGCAAAAAAAAAAAACGCGACAGGGTGGTAACATATGCCCCCCCCCCCCACTGGGGGCGAAGGTTAAAGAAAATTTGTCCCAACGGTTGAATGGGTGTCTTTTGGGTTGGGCTTATTCGTGGGTTTCGTACTAATATGAAATATCTATAAAGTGGGCTCACTGATTGAGCTACCGGGCAGCACGATAAACCAGCAACTATGCAGCATAATACCTATACGCCAAAATGGGTTAGGGCCTGTGATAAGAGGGTAGACTTTTCTATCATCTTATCAGTTAGGTACTTGTACGAATAGAGACCTCTATTCGTATCCTGTAGCATACACCCACCGTTCCGAGGAAGATCCATAAGAAGATGTTCTGTTTATCTGATCATTCTCACTTATTTATATTACTTTATTTTTTCTTTTAGAAAAAGAGTGACATCAGTTTGATAACCAAGATTGGTGATAGCTTCCAACAATAAGCATACATTTATATTTTATAGGTCGTTGGAAATTGAACTTGGGTTACCGTTTCGCAAACATTTCCATTAACTGATATTTTATCAGTTCAACTTGCAAAAAATGAAATGCAAAGTAGCGATTTCCCTCTAAATGCATAGGAAACGCGTTACCCTAAATATACTGTTTATCGGAAAGCGTGTTGACTCAAACTGTATAGAAATTCGGTGCAGAAACAGTTCCAAGAAAAGTGCTCCTTTACTTAATGGCAGATATGCGCATTGCGCAGGGGAAATCATTTCGAAACGGTGCCATACCATCGCAAACCCTCATGCAATGCAAACACCACAGAGTTGAGCAGCATTATCGGTGTGTTTGCCTACTTGCGACGCAGAGTGTAGATGAACATGCCAATCGGACAGTCATATATCACTTTGAGTGGCACCAATGAGGATGCCGCTGGGTATCGCACCTACCCGAGCGACAGTCGTCCGATCGTATATCATTGGTCACGTCCGTAATTCAGCGAAATCATCCCACCCCTGACAGGCAGTTAGGAAGAGAGGACAAACGTCAGAGGGACTTGCGATGCTCTTCAAATTGATCATTTTACATTTCACAATTAAAGGGACTATCCCACCTTCTAAAATGTTGTTAAAACCAGTTAAATTGTGCCCGACTTTATAGATTGGATGACCAGGAACACGGTTCTGGCATTTATTTTTCATTAAACATCTTAGGCTTCCCATATTCCAAACACAAACTTTCAAATATGTGACGTCACAGCTCAAAATTACCTCCTTCCCCAGGCCACATTACTGTCATAAAGCTGATTCTTTTTACTCTGTAGGCACCACAACAAAGTTCAGACCAAGTTTTAAGCAATTTTTCAACGAACAAACCCATTTAAATCAGAATGACTAAACGAGGTGACGTCACACTAACGGTCGCTCCATGTTGAAGATAGGGCCTTGTACAAGGCCCATTTTCAAATGAAGGGAACGAATTTCTTCAACACCAAGAGGCCGCGGGGGTTGCAACCTAGATAGATAGTGGTTTCTGAACCTCGCCGCAAACTTGGCTATCTCAACTCAAACCCAATGTTAAAGGTGGGATAGTCCCTTTAACAGGACATTTCTGATAAAGAAATGCGACAAAAACAATTTGCTGAAAGAAGGAATATTAACTATACTGACGCCCTCGCTGCATCGTCAGGAATGAGAACATTCTTCCAAGGAAAATAATATCAAATGCAATTATTTCGCATCATCTTATGTGTGCTGATCGCATCTACCACATACACACCTTCATTACAGATCAATAGCGGCGCCCATTACGCCTGGGGCCTGGGGGACGCGCGCGCAGGCAGGTGCTACTGTCGGCACCATTACATGGCCATGTCGCTGGGTCTCTGGGGACACCCTGAGGAACACAGCCGCCCGTGGCAACGGCGGCCCGGACAGGACCGGCGCCGTGGCGGAGCGCGGAACACTTAGATAGCGCAGGGGAGTAGTGTCAGGGACAGTCGTCAGTTGTCACCCGTGTCAACTGGCTGATGAGCAGCATGCTTGTCGCACCTACTTATCTACACACGCCCTTCCTAGATTATCAAATTTGGTTCCCACCGAACCTGCAGTGCCAAAGTCCGTTTCTGTATCAGTGTCTCATGAAAGAAGCCTGTCATTTTCGCAAACATATTTCGATATTACATATGTAGCTGATCATTCCTCCGATGACCGGCCGTATCGGACACATATCAGTCCCAATCTGTCCTACCATCACCGGCCGAACGCGTGTCCGGGTTGCGTGAGCCCCTCCCATCGACTGCTGACACTCACTCCCGGCTCTCAGTAGAGTGCCATCACTCTCCGCTCGAGCAGTGATCGGTGACATCCATGACAGGCGCTTCTCGGCCGCAGCCACCCGAACCGGGCATGTGGCCCGGCGGCCATCAATATCCCGCAGCTCTAGCGACGTGCCGCGCTTCAGCAAGCGGTGCCCTCAGGGCGACGCACGAGCCCACCCGTCCCCAGACTGATGACCTGTCGCACAGCTGACTGACGGCGGTACCGTGACAGACCGAGGGGTGTCAGCCGTGTCAGTCACACATCAGTCGGCGATGCGGCTCTCCGAGATAATTAAGATTTTATTTTGAATTGTGGATTGCGGGCTATGACTCAACTTTAGTCACATTTCACAAAATATAAATTTGAGTCTAGAATTGCTCGAATTTCTTAGTAATGGAGAGATAGAGAGAGAGAGAGAGAGAGAGAGAGAGAGAGAGAGAGAGAGAGAGAGAGAGAGAGAGAGAGAGAGAGAGATAGAGAGAGAGAGAGAGAGAGAGAGAGAGAGAGAGAGAGAGAGAGGAGAGAGGAGGAGAGGAGAGGGAAAGGGAGAGGGATGGAGTGAGTCGTGAGACCTATGTAGACCTAAATGTCTAGTGAAACATGTTGAAGGAGGGATGTCGGATAAGGGTCATGCATTTACACAATGGGATAGAGGTAGGGCCAATACTGTTGCGGTCATACATCCTTGTGCTCTCAAATAGATGCTGGGATAAAAGGGAAAAAATTTGATAATTTGATCGAAGTGCCTAGATGTTCGGTGACTATATGAGTTTGTAATCTTATCATCGTAGTTTGTAACTTTATCCCATCGGCCCCTTTTTGTGAATGGTCGTGTCGAAGTATAACTTACCCAATAAAATACGTGGAAGAGTCCATTATTGGTTGCGACTAGGTCAGGGTGCGGCCGGGATATCTGCGGCTCTGATGGGGCCACTCGACTCCGGCATTCGACACGCGGTCGGGTTTATTGGTACACCGGGCACGTCGCCCCGGAGACAGAAGCTTCGACAGCAGCCGCGGAGCGCGAGTGACAGGGAGCCTCAGCGGCCCAGAAGGGAGCCTGAACGGTGCAGAAGGGAGCGTTACGGGGCAGACGGGAGCCTCACTGGCGCAGACGGGAGGGTTATGGGGCAGTCGTGCCCTTGGCGGCACATTTGGGAGTCAAAAACAGAGCAGAAGGGACCCTCAGGGGCCTCAGCGGAGCAGACGGGAGCCTGAACAGTGAAGAGCGCAGACGAGGGCGTCACTGCCGTAGATGGGAACTTCAACGGCGCAGACGGGAGCCTCAACCAAACATATGGAATCTTGATCAACGCAGACAGTCAATTTCCCTTTTCGAAAGCCTTTTATCAAGATGGACTTTTATCTCAGATTTACTATATTTTGAAATCGGTTCAGACCTTCCCGAAATCAGAATGTGACACCATCTTTCTAATAGGGCATCTAATAAGACATGGATTAAATGATATATCTTAGCAAGAAAATTTTTAAATACCAGGTTTTAAACCCATGTCAAAACATGGATCTTCTACATATCTACTCAAAAGCTACCCTTGAAGATATCTTAGCAAGACAATTGTTAAATACCAGGATTTAAAGCCATGTCAAAATGTGGATTTTTACATCTTTTCCTCAAAATCTATCCTTCAGCACCCGCAAACACCAGCGACCGTGGCTGAGCGGCTGAGCGCTTGTTTTCTGCGATCTCGGCTTTCTGGCTCTCTCTGGCGCTGTCCCCCGGCTTTCGTTGGCAGCGTGCTATCTAATTTTGTTTGTTTGTGATTGTTTCCGGCTGGTGGGCGGGCGCCGGGCGGGGTGGGGTGTCGGCCGAGATTACGTCGGGGCCGTGTCGGCCGCGCGCGGTGCCGTCTCTGCTCTGGGTGTGTCCGCTCTCTGGCGGTGGGCGCTCATTGTTTTCGGCGGCGCCGGCCGTGGGTGACCGATGGCCTCGTTGGGAGGGCGCCGTCCGATATTGGTGCCGCCGCCCCTGTCTGCAGCGGACGGCGCACACCGGTAACCAACTCCCTTGAGGGAGAGTGTGCGGTCAGCGCAGAACAGTCAAGAAAGAAAGCCTCGCACAAATTTGTACGTTTTCATTACTTCCTCCTCGCGCTTTTCCTTCTACCCACCTAATGCTATCAATAAGACAACATGAGCGGAATATGTTTATTTAAAGTGAACATATAGCACAACAATGTATTGACGCGACACGATAACAAATTACACACTCACTAAGACAGTAATGTATTGAGGGAACGCTAGCCTATTCATCTATCATTCATAAACATTACAACTTACAAGTAAATATGTTTGGGTCAACTTGATCACGTAAAATCAAATAAAACAATAAATAATTTACCACAGCGTAAAAACGATGCCTTCCTACACAGGTAACAAAAGTTGGTGCGAAGAAGCTTGCCATCAATAAGATAAATTATAATTAGATGAAGCACGAACTCACAGACAGACATGGTAAAGTTTTACTGACAGCTCATTGAGACACCCAAAGACAAATTAGGATATTTGAATCCGCTAGCTGCAAAAACAAAGTACAACGAACCAGCCGTTGCCCGTTGGGTTACACTGGGTTACACTTATGCAACACGAGCTTCCTCTCAGAGACACCTCAGGGTGAGAGGGCTGGCTGGGCAGCCGCTGTGCCATTGATCTCCTGGCAGCCGGCGTGCCACGAGAAGTCGCACGTGTTGGTGCGGCTGTTGAACTCCAGACCTTCGGGGCAATGCTGGAGGTAGGGCACGCCGTTGCTGCACAGGTAGAAAGTGGAGCAGTCTTGGGGATTCGGTAGGAACACGGGATTCGCTCCATCCCTCTCGGGACACGTCCCCGCAGGCTCAGAGACCGCCATAACATTACCCGGATTAGGAGCGGCTACGGATTTCATCGACTTCTTACCCTCAATTTCTGTACACTGCGACTGTAATGGGGAAACGCATGTGTTGGAGTACTTGTTGAATTCGAGGCCGGCAGGGCAGTGGAACAAGTAGGGGACTCCGTGGCTGCACATGTAGAAAGTGGTGCAGTCGTACGGGTTCGGAAGAAAAGTGGGATACTTTCCATCCACGGCGGGGCAGGTTGAGGCAGATCCAGCGCTGGCGAGAGCTCCTGCTCCTGAGAGAGCTCCCGTCTTCACTGAAGTCTTGTCGTCAATCTCCGTGCACTGAGCTCGATACGGGTAGTCGCATGTGTTGATATACCTGTTGAAGTGGAGACCGGCGGGGCAGTAATACAGGTAGGCGACGCCGTGACTGCACATGTAGTACGAGGTGCAGTCGTACGGATTCGGAAGGAAGGTAGGGTACTTTCCATCCACAGAAGGGCAGGTCAGGGCCGCGCTAGGATCCTTGGCAGTGGGTGCTCCCCGCTTCAATGCCTTTGTGCCCTCGGTCTCAGTGCAACGGGCCCGCCACGGATAGTCGCACGTGCTGGTGTACTTGTTGAAGTGAAGCCCGGCAGGGCAGGTGTAGAGATAAGGCACGCCGTGGCTGCACATGTAGAACGTCGAACAGTTGGCGGGATTCGGCAGGAGGGTGGGATACTTTCCGTCCACCGCTGGGCAGTCGTTGGCGACTTCCATCTGCTGTCTGACGGACAGCAGGGCCTTGACGCCGGTGGCTGCCGAAGTGCCGGACGGGTTACACTGGACGTTCTGCGGGTAGTCACAGGTCCAGGTGTTGTTGTTGAACCACAGACCGGGCATACATATCACCAGGTAGGCCGCGCCGTGGCTGCACATGTAGAACGAGCCGCAGTCGTCCGGGTTAGGAAGGAGAACAGGGTACGTGCCGTCAACGCTAGGGCACTTGTCAGAGGGAGGAGGCGTTCCTTTGGAGACAGAGGCGGCGGCTGAGAGGGACCCAGACCTGGCCGCGGCAGCTGCGTACAGCTCCGGGCAGACGACGTTGGACGGGAAGTCGCACGTCCAGGTGTCGTTGTTGAACAGCAGCCCCTCCGGACAGGGCATCAGCACGGGGTTGGTACCGGCGCACATGTAGTAGGTCGAGCAGCTGTCAGGGCTGGGGAACAGAGCGGGGTACCTGCCCGGCGGGTCCGGACAGACGGGAGCGACGCTGACCGTCGGGTGGTGAGCGCGCTGCTCCGCCGGAGCCGAGACGGCGGCGGCCGGCGGCGCGGTGAGGTCGCACGGGACGTTGTGGCGGTAGTCGCACCGCCTGGTAACCGGGTTGAAGTACAGGTCGCCGGGACAGACCAGCAGGTGCGGCACGCCGTTGGAGCACAGGTAGAACTCGGCGCAGCTGGAGTTGCTCGTCACAAACACCTGCTGGTCCGGAGAGGTGGCCGGACACGGGGCGGTCGGGGCTGACAGCGCGCAGCACACCAGCGCCGTCAGACAGACGACTCGCAGCGGCACGAGCCAGCGCATTCTGCCGAGCAGGGGACGGACACGATCAGCACAAGACAACTGACTGCCTGAATGAGAAAAAAAAAACATTGAAATTTCAACACTGGAGGCATTTTAGTAGCTTAACGACTTTGACGCACATGCTCTGGGCATAAAAATTACCTTAGCCGTACCCCACACGGTCTTCTAAGTGAAGTTTATTATAGCCACCTAACTAAGTTTTTTATGGTTTATCAATACCACGTGAACTGGCCTAGAGTTTCCCATGGACATTCATCATGACAACCCAGTTACAGGCATGCAACGGAGAAGACAGTTACAGTACGCTACAGAAAAAAAAAACTCATTGACGCAACTGACAGGACTCGTGCAACAATCAAGATCGACGTGATGGTTTCAGGATCAATAGAAATCTGATAATATGACATAAAATTGCTTTATCCATTTTCAAACGTTTCGACTTTATTCAAAGTCATCTTCAGTGTTAAGATAGAAAAGTACACAATTACATGCTGACATAAATATACAAGCAGTCGATGCAGGGTATCAGTCGATGCACATCACACACTTCACAAAAACAAGACATAAAACATCATTCGTGTTGGTTCGGTCGTCTTCCTACAGAACGATACTTAGTTTAAACGCAGATGATCGGTCATTACCGGTACTCAAGCGTGTCTTTCTACACACAAGTACTCTTAAGAAGAAAGAAAAGTGTGACCTGGATCTAGATTTTCTACTTACCTGTAAGACGTACGAGATTTTCCCAAAGTTTCTGCGCTTTAAACTGTACAAGAAGTCCCTACAATCTTCAGCGTTTTACAAATCATGGCAAAACAAATTACTCGACCAAGAAATACAGTTCAAAAGGAAACGCGCTGAGAAGTTGAAGCATGACTGTGATGCTCAGCGTGGAGATCTCAGGAAGACTCTTTCTCTCTTTAAGTATTACTGGCTTCTGAACATTACCCGAAACATTGTAGCTACATTTCGGAAGAATCATGAGGCTGTTCATCATCGGAAACTACACAGAATCGGAATTGACAACAGTCTACGGCCTTGCGATCCCGATAGAGTCATTTTCAACTTTTCATCGAAGCCTATACCAACTCGGCTCAAGACCCTACTTGCATTTGGCTTAGAATTCAAGCTACCTGTGTGGAAGATCAGCTTTCATGGATATTTCCTTCATTTCGAGACACTCGTCCAGAAGTTATCGTCTTTGTCACTCCCTTCAAGATTTGATTTTCAAGATGTCAAGCAGCAGATTCGTACCGTGAGTTACAAGTTTTTCAACACGTTTCGTCCGTCCAGAGTTTTTTCACCAATATTTTCCAAAAATGATGTCAAGACTTTGAAGGATTTTGCATCTGACTCTTCTATTGTGGTAACTAGACCTGACAAGGGGAGGGGGGTCGTGATTTTAGATAAAGCTCAATATCTAGCAAAGATTACAAAGATACTGTCAGATCGCACTAAGTTTTGTCTTGTGAATGAGCCACTTCACAAACTGTTATTACGTGTAGAAGATAAAGTTAATAGGCTGCTCAGCAAGTTGAAAAAAGCATGTGCTATTACCGAACATACGTACAACGAACTGTATGCGTCTGGGTCCTCGCCAGGTATCCTATATGGTCTACCTAAGATCCACAAACCGAACTTACCTCTTCGTCCCATTTTCAGAGCTTGTGGCACTGCTACTTACGCCCTCGCGAAGTTCTTAGTTCCAATTCTTGCTCCCCTTACTGAGAATGAATTTACCGTTAAAAACAGCTACGAGTTCGTCACGGATTTAAAAACTTTCTCATTTTCCGAAGATATGGTTATGGCCAGTTTTGATATTGAAAGTTTGTTTACTAACATACCTGTAGGTGAAACGGTTGACATAGCAATCAACTCTCTCTTCAGCCAGACTGACAGCGTCAGTGGCATCCCTCGGAAACTATTCCGCTCAATGTTAGATTTGTCAGTAACCAACTCGTTTTTCCTTTTCAACGGACAGTTGTACAAACAACTTGACGGCGTAGGGATGGGCCTACCACTTGGCCCTACCTTTGCCAACATTTTCTTATGCTTTCATGAGAAGAATTGGCTTACTACCTGCCCTTCTGAATTTCGTCCTGTCCTGTATAGGAGGTATGTTGATGATTGTTTTCTGGTCTTTCGACACGTCACTCATGTAGAAAAGTGTTTATCCTTCCTTAACGAGCAGCATCCAAAGATTAAGTTCACCAAAGAAGTAGAGTCCAACCAAACGCTACCCTTTTTGGATGTCAAGATAAAACGTATTGGCTCTTCTATTGAGACTTCCGTTTTCCACAAGCCTACCTTTACCGGACTAGGATTGAGCTTCTTTAGTTTCGTCCCATTTTCCATCAAGTGGGCAGTCATCCAGTCATTTATTTATCGCGCCTACCGTTTATGCTCGAGCTACAAGCTCTTCGATCTAGAGCTAAGATCCCTGAAAGGTTTTTTCTTGGATAACGGTTACCCAAGGTCGTTGGTAGATGCCGCCATTGCCAAGTTTCTTAACAGAAGGTTCAATACTATCACAAATCAACCACAGGTTGAAAAACTCGAAAGCTTTTTCACTTTGCCGTTTTTCGGAAAACGCTCAATTAAGCTCAAAAATGAAATAAGCGCTCTCCTACAAAAGTACTACCCATATCTAAGCCCGCGATTCATTCTCAGAAACAACTTCACTATTGGATCTCTGTTCAAGTTCAAGGACTCTATCCCTAAAATGTGTCGATCTGCTGTAGTTTATAAGTTCAGTTGTCCTTCGTGTGAAGGATCTTACATAGGTTCTACCTATGTTAGGCTCCACAGCAGAGTTTGTCAACACAAGGGTAGGTCACACAGAACGGGCGAACTCTTATCCAGTCCAGTAGCATCGTCTGTACGGGATCATTCTTTGGCATGTGACACCCCCTTCAGTATAGACGATTTCAAAATCATAGATCAAAAACGCTCAAACTTCAATTTACGAATTTTAGAATCTTTACACATATTTGAAGCGAAACCGACCATCAATGACCGATCATCTGCGTTTAAACTAAGTATCGTTCTATATAAAACACACCTATAAACACACACACAAGCACAATTTTGGGGCACATACATACGATAAACTTGTTCTCACATGATACGCCACGAGGACAGATTTTCGTTCAGCCCAGGTTTTCTTTCCCTTATGTACAGTGATTCAGTAATTTTCCTATCCGGATGGTCCCTAGTTTTCTTCAAAATCCTAACCTCTAGTGGCGGGTCAGCCAGCTTTTCTGCCTTCGACATCCCCGCGTGACACTCTGAAAAATGGTCACCGATCGGGGTAAGCTGTGTCTCGTTGGCAGCACACCTCAAATGCTCAAATGCTCGTTGGTGTGCTGCCAACGAGACACAGCTTACCCCGATCGGTGACCATTTTTCAGAGTGTCACGCGGGGATGTCGAAGGCAGAAAAGCTGGCTGACCCGCCACTAGAGGTTAGGATTTTGAAGAAAACTAGGGACCATCCGGATAGGAAAATTACTGAATCACTGTACATAAGGGAAAGAAAACCTGGGCTGAACGAAAATCTGTCCTCGTGGCGTATCATGTGAGAACAAGTTTATCGTATGTATGTGCCCCAAAATTGTGCTTGTGTGTGTGTTTATAGGTGTGTTTTATATAGATAGGTACCATACGGCGCGAAGGATACTGATGTGTCATTTTCACGAGCTGAATTTGAAATGTCGATTCTTGTTTTTGTGACGATGTATATGCTGTCTTTTCAAATATACATCTGATGATGGGCTGTGCCCGAATGCACATGTAAATAATTCTTTCATTTTTGACATAATATCAAGGAGAAGGTCGCTTCAAAGTTAATTCATAGTATTATCAATGCTCCTTGCAAAAGCACTACACGATATAAGTATCGTTCTGTAGGAAGACGACCGAACCAACACGAATGATGTTTTATGTCTTGTTTTTGTGAAGTGTGTGATGTGCATCGACTGATACCCTGCATCGACTGCTTGTATATTTATGTCAGCATGTAATTGTGTACTTGTCTATCTTAACACTGAAGATGACTTTGAATAAAGTCGAAACGTTTGAAAATGGATAAAGCAATTTTATGTCATATTATCAAGATCGACGCTGTCATGACAGCATAAAACCATTCTTACCTTACTGTTCTGCTAGTAGCTGAATAAATGTAATGACCACCAAAAGGTATCAATTACTGCAGATGAGGTCTCCAGCACCTGTCGCCACGGTCCTCAGCTTTCTTGCGCCACGATTAAAGCTCAACGAATGTATGCTCTCCTTATATGTTTAGCGCTTATCTCATATCTGGAGAGGTGTTGACCAAGGCAATTGAACGTGCATCATTCATTGCACAACCAGGAATTGCGTGTTACTCTCTGGGCGTCGATAGTTCCACTGACATCTAGGTCTCCGATAAGAAGCAGACAGCCCAAAGGACATTGACGCGAAGTCAAATACCAATGGCTATCGGCTTCAGTGCTGATCTGTAAGACCACTATGTACGATTGAGACACTGTCCTTAAAAACTCATGTTGCAATGAAAGGTGGTTTGTCCGGAGACAGGCAATATCCTTATGTTTGTAGTGACATCAGGACAACACCTCATTGGTCCTTAAAGGCAAACAATGCTGCAGACAGCAGTGCTGTTTCAATCACTGCTGGTGGTCAGTATCGGTGTACCAGGCATTCCATTCCTCGTGGATGGTGGGGGGATGGGGGTTGGGGAGGGAGGAAGGACAAACCTTGGTTCACATAAAAGGCAGCAATTATCTGGTCTCATCTTGTGGTATTCTAGCCTCTCTGTGGACATTGTAAGACCCAGATGTCAGTCATTATTTATGCAATGGCATAAATGTCTACATACAGTGCATTGCGCACGACTCCTTGCGAACCGGTGACAAGCATTCGGCATTCATCAAGCAATGGCCATGGAAATGCTCATCCTAAGACAATTATTCACTCAAACATGTGAAAGAATCACTGCGACAAATGGGCAATATGGTTCGTACCCGTTCAGCTTCGGTAAACGGGGCTCCTAAGTACCTGTGTAGAAAACATATACGGCAGTTCGGCAGGCAAGTCTTTCGTTCACAGCAACGGAGAGACTTGTCAAACTTAGAACTGAAATTTGGTGAGTCAGTGGTGCATCCATCTCAACACACCAGGCTTTTAGGGGTTGAAATAGACCAGCATCTTACATTCCAAAATCACATCAATGTCATTGTGCGCAAGTGCTACGCGACACTAAGTGGTCTCTCGAAGATGGCACGCAAACTTCCTCAGAGTGTAAAAAAAGATGATCGTAGAAATGCTCGTACTGCCGCATATTGTTTACTGTATGACAGTGTGGTCTGGTTGTGGGCTGTCACAGCGTCATCGGATTCAGAAAGTGCTAAATCATAGTGCACAGATTGTCACTGGGTCTCGGAGATCTGCTCACGCTTCACCCTTGCTTCAGAGGCTTGGATGGCCAAGGCTAGATAATCTTGTCATTGAAAGTGATCTGGCGATGGTTCATAAAATTTTGCAAAACTGTCAGGTGCCAAAGTGTCTTCGCGATAGACTATGCTATCGTCATGATGTTACCGGGAGAGTCACAAGTACGACTCGCGCGAGCCTGCTTCAGGTCCCGCGCGTACATACGGAAAAAGCGCGACGTTTCTTTGATTTCCGCGCTGTGTCTCACTGGAACAGGGCTCCAGCGCAGGTCAGGGGTGCTAGGACCTCAGCTGGATGCCGAAAACGAGCGCGGTCGTGGCTCAGTGACTCTGAAAACTAGTCACCTGTACTGTCAGTAGCTACTGAGAAAAAGTGGTTTAGGACTACTTTGTGTTTATTGTGCTCGTCATGAACTTTGCCGCCATGAAGATGCGATGTTATGTGTGCTTGTCACTTTAGCACTTTGTGATCATTACTGTGTGACCGGAAGAGCCATTGTTGTATGGAGGTCATAATACAAGAATAATAATAATAATAAGTTTTTGAACACATATTGCGAAATGGTGCGGTTTATACCTACCTAGAACCCAGATAACCAACGCACAACTGCTTAGCTGATAGTCCCTGATCGCTGGCAGACGACAAAATCGTTCTTTGAACACCACATCATCTGTCACCACTCGACAATAAAGGACGTTCAAATAGGTTATCGCATTAGATGCCCCGCATAATCCCCACTTTGGAAAATTAGTTGCGAAAGATCCTATCGAACACCCCGAAGGTGATTTGGTAACGATCATATCCGGGTGTCGACAGCGTTGTCACCTGATATCAGCGCTATCGCGACAGTGTAAGCTTCCCAGTCTGATCAACTTGTCTGTCAGAGCCTCTCAGGTCGAAACGTCGGGGCACATCTCGATAATACCGTCTCGTAGTATATGCTGAGCGCGATTGCCTAACTCACCCTCGCAGCACCCAGCTCTGCAAACTGCAATTATTTTTGCGCATTCAGCATAATTATTTGACACGATCTTTCACATGCGTTGGAAGGTTAAGTCATTATTAAATTAATTGCCGCCCAAAAAGTCAATTAGCAGGGTATAAAAAGCATGCGTTGTGTTTATTGACAGAATCAATCTCTGCACTCTGCAGTGCTGGCATATGTCTTCCAGAATCGCGTCCATCTCGCGATCGGACTTATTCTTCGATTATCCCAAGACCGTTCGACAACAACCAACATCACTCATTAACTTCAATAGCAGCTGATACCGGATGTTGACATTCGATTCGCCATATTTTCCGCAGTGGTAGATGAACGACTGTGGCTTTGGCTTTGATCCGGTCATCTCTAAAGCCGTAGCCAGCCGGCTCTTCCGATGGACGTCTGGGACGAATCGGCGGCGTTATTGGTCCGATCGCGCCGGCCGCCCCAGGCCGAGGTGGTCGGTTAGCGCGGTAACGGCGCCCCTCGGCGCGCAGAGGGTCGGACTTTCTGCACCTTCGACACGACAGGGCCTCTGAGCTGAGCAGGGTGGAAGGGGGTTCATCGAGCCACTGATAGGGACATTTGGGAGCGTACATTTTTATGAACCGGTAATGGATTTTGCTCAGTATTTGCTAAGCTCGTTTACTTGCTACGCAATTATTTTCTATATTTTTATCGTCTGTCTCATTTATTTTTCAACCCAATCAAACACAATACACAGTACAGCCTTTGACCGCTTAACTATACGAGCTATGCTCTCACCCAACAACCTCACTCTGCTCAAGCTCTATTGGTAGACATCCTCCTGTTGAGATGGTGTGTCATCTCACATCCACTGCTGGCACGTCGGCGAAAATCGTGGTCAGACTGCCCGAGAGGTGAGAGGAAAGGTCACCGGTATCTACAGAGTTGAGAGGGCTGTATCAGTACCAATGTCGCGGACCAGGCTCTCTATCCATTGCAGACAGAAGTGGTTTTCATCACTACTGCTTTCCTCTGCCGCGGAGGTGAAATGAAGTTTGGACGCCCACCCCAACCCGAAGCTGAATGGTGTGGGAGTCCAGAGGGACAGAGAGCGATAGGCACCGTTTGTATGGAGGCGTTATTAGTAAATCTTTATGGTCGGAACGACAGGGGGCGTCAGTCATTTTAGTTGAATGCGCATTTTAAAAAGGACGCATTACGGCAACGAAGCATATTCTATATAATACAAAAATAAAGCAAACGTTTAAATCGCTTTCTTCTGTTTCAACCTTTACTTTTCAATACAAGGAAAGATAGGGCACTTATGATCTTTTGTGAGTGTCATATATGAATCGGACGCATTTTCTCATTGGACAATTGAGTGCACCTTCAAGAATGCGCCCGGATTACTAAAGCCTACACCAAAATGTTGTACCACATTATTGTTAAAACTATATATCATGTTTTCCATGTGTATGCCCACCCAAAAGGCCATAGTATAACAACCTCTCAACTTATACACAGAGAGAACCTCTGGGTAACTCCCGCCTCAGCTTACATCACTGGGCGTCAGTTTCACTTTACGAGCCGCCATAATTTCCGAGGAGAGCACAGGCCCAGCTCCGAGGTCTATGTATATAGATGGGCTTCTGCTGGTCCATTGCGCCGCGTGGGAGTGGTGTGTCCCTGAGTACAGTGCAGCCTGAATGAACAGTGAACCGACTTTGGGAGGATGAAACTAAACAGAGAAAGTCTTATCAAATGCGACAAAAGCCTAAGTTTCGAGACGTTTACAACGGTCAACATTAGAGTTGCAAAACATCACATTGGACAAGGAGGTGCATTTAACCCTCGCCCGCACATGGGGGGGGGGGTTGCCACCCCCCTCCAGGTAGTCTTTCTGCTCTGCACTCAAGATTTTTAGAGCTAGAAGGCTGATTTTTGATATAGCTGCTCCTCCATCCTTTGTCAATGTCCACTGAAAATTGCAAGTATCTGTGATTTTTGGTTTCGGAGATATGACCTTGTTTTTCAGGTCATGTCATGACCCAAATGGCCAATTCTCAACATCTTGCGTTGGCTATGGGCCTTGTGAGCTTTTGACACCTTGATTTCGGCCTTTTTTGCCAGTCTTACCTCCCACCTAGATCATGGAACATGTTGTTCGACGATGTACAGATGTCAAGGTTAGGGTCAAGGTCAACCTAGGTCATCTAAGATAATTGCGTTTTAGGCAAGCGGTATTTACTTTTTGTGAATTTTTTTGACCGCATCTTTGGTAAAAGCTTCTCAGATCATGATTTCATGTAATATGGACACATAAACAATCGGTGCACACATCAGTATACACACAGACACACATAGACATACAAACGCATATAATTGACCTTGACCTAACTTGACCCGAAATGACCTCAGCAGCAAAAACCTGGTCGGGCAGTGTGACAAAGAGGTTCTAGCTGGCTTGGCACCAGAAAACGGCATCGTCATCGGTATATGCTAAGCAGCGCACTTGATATCCAACGGTGACCCAAAACAGCCACATTTTTAGTTTGACCTGACCTGGAAGGTCAATGACTGACCTGAGAAGGTAAAACTGGGTAGGTATCATTGGATTTGTCTCTTCCCAAAGAATCTTTTTGGTCTTTACCGCTAAGCTCTATCTCCAACAGGAACGAAATGGCGCCCCCCCCCCCCCCATGTGCGTTCTAGGATGGGAAAATGGCATGTGCGGGCGAGGGTTCAAGAAAACAAGGTCCAGCTTTTGCCACTCATTGGCGCAAAGTCCTCTCAGCGGCTGCCTGAAGGCAGAGAAAGTCACAAATACCGACACTATCGGGAGAATGCCGAGAAGATTGCGACTCTAAACCGAATATATACCAATTACCAACCAATCTTGGGTTGATTACGACCGGGGAGAGATATTGTTTGGCAATAGCACTTGGGCAGTAGGGCGATGTCTTATTTACGGCGTCCCTTTATTGTTCTTACGGGAGTATTTTGGGATGGCCAAGCGTCCAAGCGAGCGAAGGAAATTGCAGAATCCGACCCTGCTTTGGGGTTGTCACGACAATCAGCCACGGGAAGGACTCAGTGTGTTGTCACTGTAAATTCGATAAGGAAGAACAAAAAGAGATAGGCCAACCAAAGAGAGAATCGGTGCGGCTGACAAGCCAGCAGACAGCCAGCTTAGACACACAAACCAGCAGACATGGACAACTTTGACACACAAACCAGCATGAGCAGACCGACACATAAGCCACACAAGCCAGCAGACAGACCTCCAGACATCACACACACACAAAGCAGCCGACTGTCAGACGGCCGACGACCGGCAGTCCTCCCTCCGATCAGGGGTCGACCCGCGACGGGTGGACGACGCCGCTCCAACTGCCCAGATAGCCGCGCCATTCCGGACGGCATTGCCCGCAGGCGGCGGCCTACGACCACTAGCCTGTTTTACTCTATCTTTATTTCGACTGTAAAGCGATCTACTGCGCTCTATTGAGACACGATAGCCGGTGCCAGCCAGGGCAGAGGCTCTGGCAACGTGTTGTCACCATATTGTAACTTTGATTTCTTTTTTAATTCTTGAAGATCAGCATCTCAGTAAACAAACTGAATGTTGGCACTGGTGATTCCAATTATCATGTTTTGTGGCGTGACTTAATGGATTAGAATAATAACAATTAATTACACAGCTTCTTTGCAGGAATAGCGCAAATTTAACTAGGCTACATATTTCATTTTTCCTATCCCTGCGTGAATGAATGAATGAATGAATGAATGAATGAATGAATGAATGAATGAATGAATGAATGAATGAATGAATGAATGAGAGAATGAATGCAATATGAATGAATGTAACTAGTAACTACGCACCGCATACTTACTTTTATACAAATCCACGCAAAAAATAGAGAAGTGGATGATCAGCATATCAGTGTGATCTGACCAAGCGGCTGTTCCACAGTTCCTTTTTTCCTAGCATTCAGTTTCACCAACTGACAGGAAAAATGTCCTTTGTCAAATGTTGAGAGCCAACAACGACAAAGCCCCGGTGTCACCGTGTGTCGGTGTGACCACTCCCCAGTGAGCCATGACCGGCTGCCGGCTGTCAGAGGGCGGCGCCAGGTGGCTGCCGTCTCCGCTCTCTCCTCTTCACCTTCCCTCTCGCCGCGCCTCCTCACTCTGTCTGTCGGCGGCCGGCGACGGGAGCGTATCGACCTCGGCACTGTGCCCGGCGCTCTCTGTCGGCCGCCGGGCACGTGGACAAAGGTCGCTCCCACCGCAGCCGCTTCCCGTCCCGTCTCCCGTGCCGCCGGCTACCTTGTCTCCACACCGTCTCTGTCTCCGTGTCTGTGTCCTTCTCCATTCCGGTCTGCACCGGTCGGTGTCACCCGATCTCCGCCGCTCCTCCGCGCTCCGTGGCAGTCCCGGAGGCCGGCTGACGTGGCCCTCCTCTGCTCTGACCGGGCCGGCGCGCCGACCGCTCGGCCCGGGAGCAGGTGCGCGAGCAGACTGCCCGGCTGGCCGGCACTCCCGCTCTGCCCCCGAGCGGCGCAGTGCCGACAGTCGAGAGGCGACCGCCGCCCGATCGGTGTCTTTTGGAGAGGGGAGCGTTCCAGCCGGAGCGTCCCGACCGGACCGGGTCTCGGAGCGGCGGCTGCGGATCAGTCATGGAGGATCTGTGCGGCACGGTCACGGTCAGAGCCGCCGGGCAGCGCCGTCAGATGCCGTCCGTTTGCTGATGAGAGGATAACCCGCACGGCCGCGCAGTGACCATCGGGGACGGTGGCACAGCCAGGGTCCACCCGGAGCGGGCCGCCAGCTCGGCGCTCGCCGATCTGCACCTGAACAGAAGGCCCGCCCGACGCTTGGACAGGGTGCCTGTAGTCGCCGAACCGACGACCGAACAGCCAGCCATGCTGATCGTCACCTACTGCTGCTGCGGCTGCCCGCTGGACGACGGCACGCGCAAGATCGGCTGGTACATGGTGGTGAGTGATGGCTAAGTTGGGGCCGGGGAGATTTGTTGTGAGGGATCGTAATGACAAAACCCGATAAGGCATTGCAGCAGAGGTGGGAAGATCGGCAACTCATAAGTTGTGACTCGCTCAGGATCACGTAATGTAAAAGATCTTAGTTCCAACACGCTTCTCCTTTCAAAGCTTCAATAAAGCCCTCGTGGCACACCTCAACTTACTCGAAACTCATGAGAGATTACCCATAATCCAGCACGCAGCGCGGCGCATCACAATCGACTTCAGACTCGCCTCATAGATGGCAGCACGGTAGAGCGCCTGATTTTATACTGTACCGCAATGCACTGGCATCAAAGCGCGCGGGCCGGTACGGCAGTTGACATCGCAGTGTCTAGCCAAAAGCGTAGCCGAGCACCTCCATTGATCAAAGTGTCAGTTGTTAGTTAATGATTACACCAGCAAACAATGTATGATTTCAAGCTTTTACGACTAGACATTATAATTCGGCGTACGTTTTTTCGGCTACTAGTCGTTTCTTGTTTTCGTTTTGAATGGCATAACTCCAAAGGCCTAATTCGAATGGCGTACTAGGCGTAATTCGAAACGAAAACAATTAACGACTAGTAGCCGAAAAAAAAAACGTTCGTCGAACCACAAACAACTGAACATTTATTAAATAAATTTAGCGCTGAAATGTTCCTTCATCTCCAACAAGGAAGAAATAAACAAAACAGTGGTTTGATCTTCCTCAGTAAGAAGTTTTGTACACGACCTCGCCTATTTTCAAACATTTAATAAAACTCTTATTTATTTTGACATTTTAAGCTGACACAGTTGTTAAGCGTAATCGCTGCGAAGAGCTATTTTGAAGGAAACAAATAAAGTTTTACCCCTAAATTTCCCTAATGTGTTCAGAACATCACTATGAAATAATAGTTGCGATCCAGCGTCGTGTCTTTCACAACTAAAACTTGTGACAAACCAGCATTGTCTGTTGATTTGGGTTTCAGGGCGCCCCGACTGTGACCAGCCACCATTTACATATCAGCCCTCACGACACGATGACTGCGGCTCCGCCTCAGTGATCCAGCCGCCTGTATAAGCCGTCCTCCTCGCGTGCTCTCATTCATCGCTAACGATGACGCGCCCACTCGGTCGTGATGAGCCGATCCGCTCAATCAATTACTCTGATCTGGCTCTCTATATCGTATGTATAGGATCCCGCCGCTGCCGACGGCACGATAACATTTTTAGGCGTAACGCACATAAGGGTCTCCATGAATGACACACGCCATCACATTTCCAGCGTGCTTTGGAAGGCAATCGGGTCGAATCATTTGGGATTATGTAGTTGTTTTCCGGGCTCCTAACGCTGATGCAATGAAGGGAGCACTTGTGTAAGCGCCAAGGTTGTTTATCGTGTGAAGCTAATGAACAAGATTAGGTAGTCATTATGCAAAACTGCGTTCTTTGGACAGCGTATAAGGCAGCACCGGCATATTGAACATTACTGCGTCGTGGAGTGTAATGCTGACGCTACAGAAATATACCAATGTTATTACTTAGTCAAAACCTGTGCCCCAAGCTCATTCATTTGTCCCTTGACACAAAATAATAGATTGCCGCTAATCTGGTTTCAGACGAACCCCAGCCGCCGGAAGGCCGGCGAGCCCGTGCGCTATCCGGTTTGTGTGCGCTCTCTATAGGGTGGGAGGTGCGTATGGCTAGATCAAATTAACTACGAGAGGCACATCGCCTGTGGCAGACCAGTGGATGTTGGCTTTGATGTGCTGTGTGCTGCGTGGCTTTCGAAATAGCATCAACGAGTGCTGTTTGCGAGAAGCAAGTCTCTGGTAAAAAGCATGCGCAACATTGTAGAGAAGAGCTTTAGTAGCATACTTTGCATAGAATACGAGTACATGGTAAATGTTAACTCAATTGCGGCAGAAAAATTGTCGGATACAATAACAAAGTTTCCACGGGCAGTGCTGGCAGTGCCAGATTGACATATCTGCACACTTCGTCACAATCATACTTAAAAATGCGTAACGCTCACTGAGGTGTACCATCCACGTCCGGATCTGTTAGCCTCGTCACGGATTGGTCACGAAGTCTCTCACGCACATCGTAAGTTGTCCTGTCGCACTGTGACACTGTGTGCGTCCAAAGCGTGCGCGCATTCCACCAGTTGTCCAGTGACACAGTCCACTAACTGCATGCAGGCCCCTAACTGCAACTAAGCGCACCAGCTGACTAGCCGAGACAGTCCGCCGTCTCTCTAAACTGCCTGCCCACCGGCCTGCCGTGACCTCTGACCCCGTGACCCCGCGCGCTGACCCGCCCCGGCCGCGCCGCAGGTGGCTGGCCTGCTGCTCGCCACCATCGACATGTTCAAGCTGGCCATCCTGATCAAGGACCCGGAGCTGGCGCAGACCAAGCAGCCGCCCGAGCTTCTGAAGCACTTCTCCGCCGACGAGGTGCTGGCCGCCAAGAAGGCGGCACTGGTGGCGCTGATGGTGGTCGAGGGCACGCTGATAGTGTTCGGCGCGCTGCTCATCTGCGCCGTCAACTGCCGAGAGGCGTGCCTGGGCTCGCTGGTGCTCGGCTACCTGGCGCTCGACACGCTGGTGGTGGCCGGCCAGCTGTTCCTGCTCTTCTACGAGCCGAGCCTCATCTACCCGATCTCGTCGCCGAGTCTGGACGAGCCGGCGGACGGCCAGCCGGCCGGCAGGGGCAGCGCCAGCTTCTTCCACTACTGCCACGGATTCTTCGTGGCTGTCCAGTGTCTGATGCAGTGCTACTTTTGCCGCGTGGTGCTCTCCTATCTGTGTAGGACCCACTGTCGACAGCAGAGGGCCTAGGGTCTCACAGATGGGCACCGCCTAGGACACTCGGTTGGTTGTTATTGCATGATGCGCGACTTTTGTATTATGTAGGTGGCTGGCTGGTACTGTATCTGAGACTCACCTGACCAAATCGGACCGGAAGCGATGTCTAATTAATTTTACCAGAAACAAGAGTGAATGTTCCAATTCCCTTTTTGAGAAAGGGAGCTCCTATTCAGTGGCAAAAGGGTAGTCTCATGTAGATTTTTCCCATCTGGTGAGTGATCCCTTACGAACAAAGTGATACGTAGACCGGCAACACAGTCGTGGTGCATTAGCAAGTGTGCATCCATTCAACCAGATACAACAGTTACTCTCGAACTACATTAACTTATGCGCGACCGACTCTTAGGAAATATAAAATAAGCGCCCTCGAGGGAGACACGATCTCTTCACGGGGGATTCTACCATGAAAACGAAATCAGTTGAATAATGGATTGGAGAGAAGAAGCTGACTCCCTAATTTCTTAACTATCAAAATACACCACACGCCCCAGTCTGTGGTGGCGAAGGTCGCGTTCATTTGAGCATGAGCAGGCATTGATAAATGCTCAAACTGATTATATTAAAGCAGGTGCGAGTTCTAAGCTCACCTCTTCATAATATTTACAAAAAAGCCAGTTGGTTGAGTGTTTGAACAAAGTGCATATCACAAAATTATGCAGGAGGCATCGACTGCTATTCCCAAATGGCTACAGAAAACATAGCATATCTGAATGTGATTTCATATTATGTGTCTATGAAGGGAAATGCACTCCAATGAAGTAGAAACCGTGTATTGTTACATAAATAGTAGTGTGTACTATGTTACACACAATCATACACAACAATTATCTTTTTTTCTATAGAACATTTCACTCACAGCCACGTCTTTTGGTAGGCAGATACAGGCTAAATAGATGATGATGTAAACATTTTATTTTAGCATCATCCCCCTGAACTTGATTTTTTGCGATTTCTATAAATTACTTGATCGGTTTAATGACATAGTTACGCAAGCTGTTATTTTTGGTGCGCGGTATTAGAGAAAAGTTTTTTTTTCAATTTTCAATTCATACTCACTAATAGGTATAACATATAAAGACCGTATTTCGGGCTCGCGTTTCCTAGTACAATAGGTAATACGCATCATTGTGGACCCGACAGGAGACATGCTTAGTGTAAAAAGAAACAATATTGTCCTTAAATGTGTCAATAGTTTGTTTATTTAAATGTCCAGTGGTGTGTGCAAGGGAAGTTATGATTCGTGTGTGTCGTTTGTCTTATCTGTGGCATTTCAGGGACTGTGATATTACTTGCATGAGAATAAGTGGCATGACTTTATTCCCAGTTAGACAAATAATTGTATCGCATGTAAGTGCACCAATGAGTTAGTAGTGAGTTAACCTGCGCCACGCTGGGGTCTGCCGAGCAACGCGCCCGGTTGGGGGCGCGTTACCATCTCGAGAACCACGCAACATAGCGACAAGCGGCAAACGGCGTTGGATAGCCCAGGGAACTACCTTGTGACCAAATTTTGTTGACCTAGGTCAAACCGATGACGTCACAGGTCAGGTCAAAGGTCGAATTTTCACCGTTTACAGGCATTTCAAGAAATGCGTTGTAAAATCGATTAAATGCATTTCATTAAAAATCATCGATGGGGTATTGTTCGTCAAACACATATTTTGCTATTTGAGGTCACTGATACCAGGTCAGGTCACAGAGGTCAGGTCACTGGGGGGTCACAATATGAAAATATCATGTGATACATGTTTTATGGTTCATTTTAAATGTCAAATGCGATTATGTGGGACAGGCAGCCCTTGGGGTCAGTTTAGATTATGTTCTGGTGAAGGTCAGGTCAAGGTCAGGTCAAGGTCAGGTCAAATTAGGTCAAATTTCAAAGTTGATGTTTTAACATAAATTGGGTATCGATTCGATGCAGCTCGTCACGGGGAGTTCAGTGGTGGTCTTGGTTTTACGCTACGTGCTCTAGAATTGCCAAAAATTGAGTTCAAAAATTTGACGTCATCAATTTTAACGTTTTTTCACTATAACTTGGCCAAAAATAGAGGTATCGATCTAACAATTGGTATGTAGATAGAAGAGCGGCGGGACTATCACATATATTCCGGGTTTTTAAATTCACTTTTTTTTACGTTTTTCTAAAAAAAATCAGTTTTTTGAATTTTTGAGGGTCAAAATCCAAAAATTTTGAAAATCCGAGATAGCAGTTTTGTAGCGCCGTCTTTTCTCTACATGACTATATAAAGAACTTTGAAATTGTTAAGTAGCTGTAGCTTTGGTGAGCGTTTCAAAATTTCATGTTTTTTGCTCATTTTTGCTCGAACATGACCTCAGTTTGACCTCAATAACTCCTGACCAAAGGTGACCTAAGACTTGAAATTTTGTGTGGAGTTGTCAAATTGATTCCCGAAAAGGAACCGAAAATTTGGCGGCGCAGCGCCGCCGTTTTCTTGGCTATTTAGGAAAAACCACAGGGGGGAGGGGCAAATTGCCCCCCCCCCCCCAACGGGGCGAGGGTTAATATTTACGAGACAAAGTAGAACGGATTCTGGCGCAAGGGTATGCAATGGGCATTATGCAGCATATACGAGAAGTAGAACAGTTTAGCTTCAGTTTCTATAGTGCCTCTGCATAACGCAAGCGAGAAAAGTGTCTCAATACGTCAAAATATCTGCAGGTTAGATAAATGCATATTCTAAGTTTCCTTGATCAGGGTGACTCTTGTTAGATTGACGGCAATGCTAGAGAAGTACAGGTCTCGCGGGTTTTAGCGGTAGGTTTTGCACATAAAAAATTTAGTGTACTTCAGGCTATATCTTCGTCGTCTTAAGTTTTTAAGTGTTGAAGATGTGATCGACTTGTTGGGTAACAAGCCGGCCATGATCGTGTAAAATGGATTCATCGTAGATCGATTAGTTTCTGAGATAGTTATAACCGGAAATGTAAAAGTGCAAAACCTACCGCTTAATCTCGCGAGAGCCGTACATTATCTCACCGAAATACTTTTTATTCAGCGTTTCTGGTCACATTTAGGGCTGGTGTTAGTTTCAGATGTCACGGAGAAGAGTTGCACATCCCTGTACCAGTCTTTGCAACGAACAACGCATCAATGGGCTCAATTGTTGGGAACTGAAATATTCATTCTTAAACTTTATTACATCTCACGTATTAGATCTAAAACAGTTATATTTTATCAAAGCCTGATTGCAATAAAAGCATTCAACTTTTGACGTGCATGCCAAAATCATGTGATCAGAAAGGCCAACATAAAATAGAGCCCTTCGTTCGATATTCATTCAAAAACTCGGCATTAGAGGTGGCAAAATGTGGACCCGAGGACCCGGTCCAAAGAACCAGTCTGGACCCATATGGGTCCAGACCGGTTCCTGGAAATTTTATGACGGGTCCAACCGGGTCCTACCATAAACTTTACATCTTGCACAGTACACATTATTGCAAAATATGAAGTAAATGAAGTGAATGTTTCTTTGCACACAGTAGCTCATGAGTATTCCCAATGGGAAATAGGCTGTTCTACATGATGAACTAATGACACCTACAAGTAGTTTGTATTAATTGACTTTTGGGGAACGGGTCCAAATGGTTCCGATTCCAACTAAGACCGGGTCCGACTGGTTCCAGAAATGTCCAGCCGGGTCTGGTTCGAGTCTGGTTCCCAAAATTTTCATGTTTTGCCACCTCTACTCGGCATTCAGCCTTCGCATATGATCCTCTTAACTCGTATGTTCCCACGTCTTCAGTTTATGTTTAAGTAGGTTAAGTTTTTTTAAGTAATGAATATGTGCTTTAAAGCTGCTACGTTCACTTATTATCTATCCTTGATCGGCGGACGGGCAGACAAAAAGGTGCAGTGTTAGGAGCCATACAATTCAATATAGTCTTCTAAGAAGAGACACCCACCAGTCGTGCGGTCAATTAATATAGTCGACTCTTGAAATATTGTCAAAAGGCGAAGAAATATTGATTTTTCTGTTTGCTGTGTAAGATCTTTCTTCATGGTATATTCATGTAAGGTCTGAGCACATTTTCATTTTCTCATTGGACGTCGTGAACTATAATGTCGTTATAGAATGTTAGTCATTCGATATACCTATGTGATACCAGGCATAAGGCTCAAATCATCCAAAATAAGTTAAACAAATCCGCGCGACTGTCATTCATGTGCTGTTCAGCATCTGCAATAATGCCACTATCATTTTATTATTTTTCACATAGCTTGTTCATGAAAATCACATGTCAATCTAAATGCTAGACAGATTATTAAGAGCACAACCTTCCTTTAACCCGCGCGGGGCTGGGGTCTCCAGCCGAACGCGCGGGGCTGGGGGGGGGGGGTAAATTTTACCCCCCCCTGTTATCTCCCGAACTAACGGTCCGATTTGGAAAATTCAAACGCCAATCGAAAGCTCTCATCACGAACTACTAAAAACATGTACTTAATTTTAAGTTTGAGGTCAAGGTCAAGGTCAGGTCAAGGGTACAAATTGCAAGTTTCTACAGTATCGGCCTTGCACCGTAGTTGCCAAAGAATGGAGTCATGGACTGAGACTGATCGCCCAAAACGTGTTCTTAGGCTACCAACACAATATTCGTTGCATACAATATCATTCAGAGGTCAAGGTCAAGGTCAGGTCAGGTCAGGTCAGGTCACCAAAAAACAAAATATAGAAAAGGGCATGTGCGACACATGTTTTATGGGTCATTTTACTCATAGAATTCAATAGGCACACTCAATAAGTGATATGGACCACCTCTGGATGAATTTCAGGTCGAGGTCAGGTCAAGGTCAGGTCAAGTGAGGTCAAATTTTGAAGTTGGTTGTTAAGGCCTGAAAAGGTGTCTATCTGATGCAGTTTTTCACGGCGAATCGAATGGTGCTATTTTTGTTTCCGTACGAGGTCTAGAACTTCCAAAAAAGTCATTTTTCAAAAAATTTGTGTGTCGTGACGTCATAAAATTTTGAATAACTCCCACATTTTTGAACCGATTCTTGTAAAATTTGGTATGTAGGTGCACATAGACCACTTCTCTGACATATATTCCGGTTTTTTTCGATAGACTCAAAATTTTGGATTTTATAATGATTTTCCCAAAAAAGTTAGTTTTTTGAAAAAATTTAGGCCAAAATCCAAAATTTTCAAAAAACCGAGATAGCCATTTGATAGACAAAGTAAAATTACGTATAACCTTTTTTGTTACGTCTTGCTTCCTTTAAAAATGAAGATGTTAGCGGCGTTTGAACTTTTGCCGTTTTTGAGGCGAAAATGACGAACATGACGTCACTAAAACGTCAATTTCTCAAAAAATTTCCGACGGATTTCGCTCAAATTTTCAGGGAACGTGTCAAATTGATGTAAGAAAAGGTACTGAAAGTTTGGCGGCGCTGCGCGCCGCCGTTTTCGAGATATCGCAAAAATTCGCGAGGGGGGGTAAAATTTACCCCCCCCCAGCCCCGCGCGGGTTAAATAAATGCTTGTGTAACTTCAAACAAAAAACTTGAGATGTGCATTGTACAGGTCAATGTTCATTGCTAGCAGGTTAACGAGAAAAAGCAGACGTGACAGGGCATGCTGTGCTCCTTTTTGTCCTGTAAAACGAGTGCCCCAATCTCCATACAAGTCATCGAAATTATTTTATATGTTACTGATGCAATTAACACCGAAATTAATTGGTAAAACTTGCAAATCGGTTGACAATAAAATTACCGTTTTCGTTTTTGATGAATGACAAACTTTATTCACGAGCTATATCAGCTCATTCCATACTTGCATTGATTGTTTTGTCTTACTTACCAATTCAAGACATTCTTAGTTCCACATAAGGCAGACAGACATCTTCATTATTGATGTTGCTCTGAACATACATACATACATATATCGCAGTTCAGATATACGGGCGATGCAAACAAGCTCATTGCCAATG